TTCATTGAACAACTCAAGGCGTGAAGAATGGAACGGAACAAGACCAAAAGACTCAAGGACAAGATCAAGAATTGAAGACTTAGTCGAGTCGGTCTTAGTGTGATCTAACCGACAATCAATTCAAGTCTCGGTTCTCAAAGAGTCAAAATAATTTTTACAAAATCATAAAACATTTTTTATGCATCAAAATAAACGTTTTTATTAAAGGTTTTAATGTATTAAAATCCCTGGTCTTTGCCTTGACCAAAACTGTAACACCCTAATCCGTCCAGGTCTGCAGCACCTTTTGGACTAAAGTATTAACTTGATAATCGTAAAATTTAAAACTTTTCAAACACTCTTATTTATAACAATAATATTTTTCATAACATATATAACACGGAGTTTTCAATATTGTGGAAGCTTAACAAATCATAATTACATACATAATTTATTTATGTTCTTTAATTCAAAACTATCACATCCATTCCGACAATCTTGCCTCCGTCTGCCTCCAAAATCATGTCACATCATTCTTTCTATTAACCTGCGTGTAGCAAATAAAACATATTACACGCTTAGTGGTGAAGCTGAGTAAGCATATTTAAAGCGTCGAACATCTATATAAATTGAATCTCAATTCATAATCAACCATTTGATATCATGCACATAATGTTCAGTTTGAATATTCACTTTTCAATATTCATTGTTCCATATTCAACATTCATTTTCATATTCAACATTCAACATTCAAATTCAATAATCAACATTCGTATTCAACAATATCCTTAAACTATTCTTAGTCTAAGGCCAATCTCTTTCATATTTATCAATCCTTAAACGAATTCTAGTTTAAAATATTTCTAATCAATTCTTAAACTATATTCTAGTCTACGGTACTTTTATCCAATCCTTAAGCTAGGCCTAGTTTAAGATAAACTTACCTTTGCTTAAGGTCAACCAGAAACCAAATAGCAGAATGCTCACTGTCGGGTTGGGTGGTATCCCCAAACGAGTTCCTCTAGTTTTGTTTGTAGATCCCGTACGTACGTTTTAACCCAGGCCACCGAATATTCATAATTATACTTGCAAAGCATATTTCTAAGCTATCTTAGAGGTCTTTTAGATAGTCTTAGAAACCAATGTCAACCTAGGTATATCTTAGAGTTCTTCTAGATATCCTATAATCCAATTCATTTCATAATCATCATTTCATTCAGAATAATCATCATCCTTAATCCATAATATTCATTATAATCAATAATCAATCAATCATCATAATATCCAATAACAATTAGCGGCCTGGCATCGAGTGTTAACACCCAGCTTACCGTCATGCATCAAATAAGATCCTTTTAGTTGTCAAATCTTCATTTATATTCCAACACATCATCTTTACATTAATCATAATTTGTTGATATCAAAAATAAGATTCCATAGTTCAAAAATCATGTTTTCTAAACAATAATTGATTAATATATGATAGAAAATTTAATTATTAACTACTAGCTTCATTTTCATCAATAGTGTAGGGAGACAGTCTACTGTCACTTTTGATAATCTACTATATGATGTCCAGATGATAATCGATTATCGCATTCTGATAATCGACTATCAAACTTCAGAAAGGGCTGACAGTCGATTGTCATATTCTGACAGTCTACTGTTGCTCAGCTCTGTTCCAAAAATCTGCAGAACAAGATATAGTCGATTTTTAAGTTGATAGTCGACTATTCATCGTCTTCTACCCCAAGTCAACTTGCGGAAATGTCATTTTAAGTTGCCAAACTTCAATTAAAGTATACAAAGTGTTCTCCAAGGTTCATATATCATTTTGGCATCATTAATTCATAGTTTTAACATCAAAATCATGATTTGTGATTCTTAGTTTTCAAGCATGTCAAACACAAAACTCAACCAAATGACCATTTATGAACATAGAAACGTCCTATATGAATATTCTAGTCCATACATATATCTACGGGCTTACCTTGAAGTTTAATGAAGGTTTTGGAAATTTTCTGGTGAAACTTCCGGCGAGGTTTGTAGCTAGCTCCAGCGGCTTCACACCAAATTGACAACACCAATGAACTCTCCACTCAACAAGGAACACAATGATACTAAACTTACTAAGTTTTGGTGCAAAAATGGAAGTTGACTCTTCTTCCTTAAATAGGAAGAATGAAGAAGAAGGAGACAATGGTGAAGTGTTGTTGCGTAGGAAATTTTCTAGTGCGCTGGGAGGCGCCGTCTCCACAGTGTCACTGATTGGGACCAATTTTTGTTCCAGTCGGGGTACACTTTTTTGTCCAACTTTCTCCGATTTGAATTCCGTTCACATCGTCGCGATCAGACAGTCGAGCTCTATTCAACTATGTAATTTTTATATTTATTTGTAATACTTTTTCCGACATCATATTTTCGGGTGTATGACTTTGACAGAGTCAAAATTAGTTTAATTGACCTTTATTCAAAAAGGTTCTCTCATTTCATTCATATTATTTATTATCATGATTTATTTCAATAAATCATTTTAAAGTCCATTACATAAATCATTTCTTTATTTATTCTTGATTTGGGTTTCTACTCAGGTTCCCAATCAAGACCACAGAAATACTCAACATATTGGATTTATCTCTATGAGATTTATCCATATTGTGATATTGGATATCAGAACATATTTATTGGCCCAAAGCCCAACAACAATTTATTTTAATCAAAACAAATTTTATTAATTTGAATATGTTAATAATTCTAGGGTATGTTTTGGGGCGTTACAAAAACCACTTTGTTCGGTTTTCAGCGTCCGAACAACCTCGGTGGTTTTCAATATTTTAAACCTCGTTTTTATCTCTGGGCATATCTAAAAGGTTCACAAATAATTATTTTATAAAAACCACCTCTGTATCTTGGTCATTCGGTCTAACATGTGAAAAACGGTCAAAACCGTACACACGTGAAAAACGACCTCGAAGACTAGGTTTTTATCAAACAAGTCTTGGTTTCACTATTTTATACCATATACAATGTTCTTCAAACTTGGTTTTTACTTTTGGGAACACTTCGTTTTTGGACCTTGGCATTTCGGGTTAAGTTTCTTGCCAGACAGTTTTAGTCCGCTGAAAATCGACTGTCAGTTTACAATATTCGAACATTCGAACCATCCAATGATCGACTGACACTTATTGTCACTCGATTGTCTGCGTTTTTCTTTAAACCCAGAAACTTCTGAGAGGCTTGATAGTCGACTGACACAAGTTGACAATCGATTATCAGTGCGCCCGTTGTCCTCCAACAGATAGAATTTTAAATTTTTGGACATGGAATCTTTTTATACTCGATTATCAAGCTTTGAAAATAGACTATTACTTTGTGTCTCTGAAAAATTTGTCTTCATCCTATTGGAAACTTTGCAACGGGTTTATCCCATTTTAGGCTATATAATGGCACCCAAGTCCTCTAATTTTACACACAATTCTTCAATATTTCAATACTCTTTCATTGCATAAGCATTCCTATTTTTCTTAGCTATTTGAGAGCCAATTCTTGATGAAATTGTCATGTTCTTGAGCATTTACTAGTTCACTCATATCTACTCTTTGTGAAAGTTTTATTCCTGAGTGTTTAAGCGTTTTTACACACTTGAAGGGAGGTTGTTCCCTTGTTGTAAATTCGAAGGAAGTCTTTGTTCCTTCGTGAGAAGTCTTGGAGTGCGGTATCTCTGAGCAAAGGCGTTTCAGGCTCGTGTGACTCGGGTTCTCAAGTTGTATCGGTTTGTTGAGCACCTTTCAGCTTAACGGAGTTAGTGTAGCTTGAGATGGTCTCTCGGGAGGCTGGATTAGCCACACGTTGTGGTGAACTAGGTTAAAATTCGGTGTGCTCCTTTCTTACGCTCTTTACTTTATCGATCTCGTTTTTAATTTCCTGCGATTTTGTTTTAAACACTATTCACCCCCCTTTAGCGTTGGGCCTATATTCTAAGAAAAGTCATTCAGATACTCCATTCTTTTAACTATATAAGATGTTACTGGTACATATAAAAGAACTTGTTACTATATAAGATGTTAGCACTACTAATAACTTAACTTGTTACTCGTGGGGATCTAGCTAGTTACTCCGGATACTCATACATTAGAACGTAAAATATTTCACACGTACTCACAACTAAACTTGTTACTCTCATGAATCATTCCTCTAGACACTCATACTTTTACCTGTATAAGATGTTACAAGTACACATAACAGAACTTGTTACTCGCACGGATCGTGTTACTCCGGATACTCATACTTTTGAACGTATAAGATGTAATCAGTATTGAAAACTAATATTATTACTCGAATATATTGAAATACACCAAACACTCATAGTTTTAAGCATAAAAAATGTTACAAGTACTGATAACTGAATTTGTTACTCGCACAGATCCAATTCCTCTATATACTCATAGTTTTGATCGTATAAGATCTAAGGTACTGATAACTGAACTTGTTACTCACACTGATCAAATTCATCTAGATACTCATTCTTTTGACCGTATGAGATGTTACCAGAACTCACAACTGAATTTGTTACTCGCACAAATCAGATTCCCCCGGATACTCTTACTTTTGACTTTATAAGAATTTACCAGTACTGATTACTGAACTTGTTACTTGTGCAAATCTAGTTACTCTCGATACTCATACTTTTGAACGTACAAGATGTTACCAGTAATCACAACTGAACGTTTTTCTCATATGGATCCAATACCTACAGATATTCATATGTTTGAATGTATAAGATGTTACCAGTGCTGATAACTGATATTTTTACTCACACAGATAAAATTCCACTAGATACTCATACTTTTGACCGTATAAGATGTTACTGGTACTGATAACTATAGAATAACAAAAGGAAATAAAAAAAAATTAAACTCAGAGAATATGAAACATTACACTTCAATTTTTCACAAATGTTATTAATTTTAAGAATAAAGAGAACAATTCTAAGGTTAAAGAAGTTTTTCTTTGAAAGCGCAATTCAATTTCCATATTCATTTAGCATACGCCATATGCATGGATGTACATGGAAATGGACATGACCTAGTGCGGAAGGAGTGAAATAAAATCAAAACTCTAGCGAACTGAGGTACTAGCCTTTCTTGACAAGCTTTTGAGGAATGATCCACTTCTAGTTAGTTCTCTTAGCGGCTTTTCTGTGAACCTGATGAGGTTGTACGTGAAACCACCAGCTGCAGTTCCCATTATAGGCCCACATATGTAAACCCATATACTTTTGTACTTATGCATCACTATAGCTGGCCCAAGACTTCTTACCGGATTCATCGATGCTCCTGAGATTGGCCTGTAGTTTTTATAAGAGAAAAGTAAGAACAAGCTATTCCACCGCACAATACATGAGAAGCATTGGTGTTAGAATGAATATTTTAAAAAGAGCATTATTTTTAAATTTTGCCCCTATTTTTACTCATATGATAACGTTAACAATGCATGATAGAAACCATAAAAGCACTCATTGGCATCAACAAAAATTACAGTCTCAAAAATTTCTAGTTGTTTTTAGTGCTATTAACCCTATTACAATGTATTTTCTAAGATTTTTTAACATGAAATGTTAAACTTGCCTGTCCTACAAAGAGAATGAAACTATTGTAATATCATACTCTATTCGTCTTAAAGTATTTGTTGGATTTGACTTTTTGAGTCCTACCAGATAAATTTTAATCATTAACTAAATCAAAAGTAATTATATATTGATACAAAAGAATAATTTTTTATAAATTTTCTCAAAAATAAACCTTATTAAATAATTTTGTACTACTATGCAATGCAACTTTATTTAATTGGCAATCAATATTTATCGAAATATTTTAACTGTACAAACATTTAGTGATGGATATACTACGGAGTTATACTGTAATAGTATAGGGTATGTTTTTTTCTATACTCCTCGAAGTCCTCACACATCACATCACTAAAGAGATACAACATCTTGAATTAGTTCCCGGATAGTGCTGGAAAGAAAAAAGCATTCCGGATCAGTGATAGTCGGAGTTTTTCAAATTCAAATGGTAGATCAAGTATCGCTCCAATGAAAATAAATATGAAGTGGCACTTGCATTACCGTTTGGAAAAAAGTAAATGTACCCCTTTTACTTTCCCAACCCAAACAATCAAAGAGGAAGAAGACCACCAGATCCAAATCAAGGAGGATGACCAAAGAACAACATATAAATATTGATCATCTTGACATAGTTGCAGACCCATACGCACTTGTGCATGCCATGCACGAGCAGGAAGTATAGACCATCCGAGAAGCTGGGTATGGCCAGATGCTATCTCAACCAGCCTAGGCTCTAGCATACGAGCCAGTGGTAGTGCCTTGAAGACCTGATAGACGTGGAGACGCACCAGTGCATGGCAGAACTCCTCGAAGGTAATGATAAGAGAGACAATTAGATGGGGAGATACACATACATTGCCTACCATACCCATGATACCCCAGGCTTCACCATCATTATTTATGGCTGCAACCCTAGAGCCACCAGTCTCCGCTTCACACTTTCCACCGCCTAGAGTTGCGCTTGATTCCCTATTTCAGGACTTTTATTTCGCAGTTGACTTAGGAGAATGAGATTCAAGATCCTCTTGAGAAAAGTACACCATTGGTTGGTTGTTAGCCACAACGAAAAACACACGGTAGGCGGTGCATTATGGGGAGTCACTACCTAGTTCAAGGACATTCTCTCGACAATGACTCTTACTCGTAGACAATTTTTAGATTATCTTTTTAGTAATTTTGTTAGTTTTTAAAAATAATTATTATATTTTTACTCTGAATACTTTTCCACATCATTATTTTTTAAAGTTTTTCTTCACACATATCGTACACCATTAGGGCAATCAAGATAAAAGGTACGCGACATCGAGTCCTACTATCATGTGCCAACATTGATGAACCTATAATTACGTCTTTGTGTGAACACCTCATCGACTATGAATGAAGGGTAGGACTTCTGGGGACTCTTTAACTGCTGTTTACTACAAGTAGATGAAGGACACCTTGAGATTATACTGGTTCTCTTGTTTCTGGGCACTATTTAATTAGGTTTTAAGAGATGCAACTCTATACTGCAGCTGGAATAAACTCTGCTGTCCTGTATTACCATGAGCTCATTGACATAGATTGGGGAGCAGTGGCATGAGGACTCATAGCTCTAATGAGGTCCACCACATTGGATGAGCTGTTTGAATTGGACATTGGCTTGAGTGATGGCAAACACAAGAGCATTTTTCCAGCCATATGGTGACAACAAGGGACTAAACAAAGCTTTGGGATCTCGTTTAGTTGTTGCTATTTGTTGGTTTATTTTCAATATTTGGAATTTTAGATTTAATAGGTCTTGTAGGGGTCCGGCCAACCCCCTGCTTTGTACTTTTTTTCCTTTCTTTCTCTTTCAATAAAAATAATCCTTTAATATATATATATATATATATATATATATATATATATTATATATATATATATATATATATATATAATTCCAAGAACAAATAAGAATCAACCAAACAATAGAACTAGGGCTGACTAATAAGCAAATAGTGCCATAACAATCACTACCATAAGCAATATTATTTTTATTTTTATTATTATTATTATTATTATTATTATTATTATTATTATCGATGGTGCCTATTATTATGCTAGCTACTAACATCGAAGAAGAAGAAAAAAGGCTATCAGAGGTGCCTATTCGACTGTAGGTGCTTGACATTTTTGTCTATATCTTGTATCTAGAAAATTGTGTGAATCTTTTATAACTTTATTAGATGAGTGGGTTGTTGGAAAGTATTTTTCCACTTTATATTTTTCCCTCTTTGGTTTTATTTTGTTTTGGTTTCCTTGGGTTTTTATTGTTTCTACAGAAGAGAGAGGGAAAAAGAGATTGATGATTAAGAATGATTGATTTTAGAGACAGAAAATTGGAAAGAAGCAGTGGAGAAGAAGTCCAGATGGTGAAATTTTGATTTGGTAACATGAGACTCATCTATCCGTCAATGATGATTGACTGAGGTTTTCGGAAACAGTTGGTTTCGCGAGGGAAGGAGGCTATGATGCTTGATGATAATGAATGGAAAGAATAAGAATCAGAAAAAGGAGAAGGGTAGACAAGTATAGAAGGTGGTTGAAATTTTGTGGTGGTTTGAGGTAACTAACTACTAACAAGTCGTCGATCAAACAACTGAGAAGAGCAGCCAATTTGATTGATGGTACGGTGATTTAATTGAGAACTCCCGATTTGAAACATCAAGTCACTTAAATTGTGATAACCCTAGAGGTTAATCTAACAAGGTGATCTGGAAGGAAGCCGAAATTATGGCTACTGAACATGTTGCAAGTCAACGAAACATGATAATGATGAACAAATCACAAACGTCATCTTTGTGCATAATCGATTGACCTGAAGTTTGAAATAAGTGGATGAAAAGTTGAGTTCCATGCTCCAAGAAAATAATTACAATGCCAAGAAAAATTTATGGTGGCCTCAAATAGCAAACACACAAACTAACAAGTATTGCAGCTAGTTCCATAAAGGTGGCAGAGTAACACAGTGACTAGATTCTTGATCAGATCGTACGTGTTGATTGATGGAACAAAGGTTGGTTATCCATAGTTGAACAACCTCCACGAGTAGCATCCGGAACAGGTAGTTGCAGATGCTAAAGAAAGGGGACTTGGATCCCAAAGAAAAGGGATTCACATTTCTTCAAGAAGCTGGCACATGTGAGGGATTTGATTTTTCAAAAGTGGGATTCATGGAATTCTTTGATGGACCAGGAGGATGTGAGTACTACCTCACTTTATGACATGCTGAGGGTGAAAGGGACTTCTAAGCCCTGGATGAGGATTATCTGACAATCCTATATCCCACCAAGGTTTTCTTTTACTACTTGGTTGGCATGTAGGAGAAGAATCTCAACAAAAGTCAACCTTAACTTTATTGAGATGGATATGACTTGCAGTTTGTGTGATAGGGAAGACGAGACAACTCAGCATCTGTTCTTTGAATGCACTACCTCTACACAGATTTGGAATGCTGTGAAAAGCTGGCTCAAAAGGAAGTTGAACAAACTGGCCACAATGTGCATTGTTTATTACATCTGGAAATTGAGGAATGATGTCTATTTTGACCATGAGAGGGTCAGTATTTAGTCTACCATTGAGAAAATCAAGGTTGCTGTGTATAGGGTGATGTATCATCTATACCCCAACAATAATCTTGCCTTGTAACTCTATTGTGACTTGTGGTTTTTACCCTTGTGTTCCAGGGGGGGCTGTGACTGTGTGGTTCTGAGGAAGGGTTTTTCCTCTCTAGGTGGTGGTTGGTCTGGTCATTGGCTCTCCCATGCATATCCTTTTAGATGGACATGGAACTGCTAGTGGCCTGGGGGTGGGGTTCTTCCATGGTGGTTTGGCTTCTCGAAACTTAGCAATCCATTGTTATTCCTTTGGAATAACCTTTGATTGCTTTGGGTCCTGGGTGGGGTGGGGGGACCTTGTGTTTATGGGGCGGTGAAAACTGGCTAACCTCTGTGTACCCCTTCTGGATATGCAGAGAGGAGCTAGGGTTCTGGTTGGGGTGTTTTACACCTGTCTTCTTCCTTCCTCCCCTCTCTTCCCTTTTTTCTATGATTCTCTGTTCTTGGCCTCCCTCTCTCCCTTCTTCTTCTTGGACATGAGCCCTGGTATACCTAATTACCCACTCTTCAGGTTGGTTAGGAATACTATGGCTTGTGGACTGGGGCTTTTTTGGTGGTGGGTGACCCCTCTAGCTTGCTATTGGGGTGGTGAAAACAAGCTAAACCCTGTGTACCCCCTTTTGGATATGCAGAGATTAGCTTGGGTTCTGGTTGGGGTGTGTTACACCTTCTCCTTTCTTTGTTTCCCCCCCGTCCCTTCTTTCTTCTTCCTTCTCACCCTCTCCTCTCATCTTCTCTTCTTGGACATGAGTCTTGGTGCACTTAATCTCTCATTCTTCAGAGAGGTTAGGGACAATATGGCTTGTGGACTGGGCCTTTGGGGTTTTGTGGTTGGGGTACCCTACCTTGGGGTGGTGGAAACAAGCCTACCCTTGTGTACCCCTTCTAGATACATAGGGAGAGGTTTGGGTCCCTGGTTGGGGTGAGTTCACACCCATCTCTTCCTTTGTTCCCCCCTTCTGTCCCCTTCTTCTTCACTTTCTGTCCTCTTCCCTTTTCTCCCTCTTTTCTAAGCTTTGCTCTTTTCTTGGATGCTAACCAAACAGCATGCCACCAGTCATTCTTCTGATTGGCCATGATGTA